CGGCTGTGTAGAAGGGGGTTTAACTAAGCCTATAAATGGGGTAGTTGGCTCAGCCATGCAATGTAATGAGAGTGTTGGATATAATATTAAGGGAAGAGTAATGTTAGATAAAATTAAAAATTAAATTTAAAAACTAGACTTGATAATCATTACACACTTTAATGCAATTCTAATTTGCTCCATTTTTTCTCTAAAGCTTATACTTTGTATTTCTTTGTTTCCTTATATTACACTTTGCACCCCAACTCAAGTTGGACCTGGAGCAATTATACGTGCTCATATGCCTAAATGATGCGCCGCGTGTATATGGAGATCTTCAAGGCTTGAAAATGAGTCCTTAACCCAAACAAGTACCTGGTGAGTATAAACCTTGACTCAACACCAAAAGAAACTTGGTGGACCAATCAAGTAAAATTTGGATAACAATAGGGCTTTTTTTCCCTAAATTAACATGAATTCTTCTGCAAAAGCATTGCACTGCTACAAATATCTGATAAGAGATGTAAGGTGATTGGAATTTAGAAAATTCAGTACCTACTGTTAGAATCATGCATAGGACTATCGAGGGAAACAAAAAATAAACCAAATTGCACACCTGTGTGTCACCCTTGCAAGGAAGGGAAAAAAAATAATATTCTATTATGTATACCATATTCAAATATAAAGAAATGAAATCCTATATCTAATTCCTTTTAGATCTGACTGAATTAGAATTTTCTAGAAAAGGAATAAACTAAAAACTATGGATAAGTCGAAGTAATTTTCTCATAGGCATTTGCCCTCAAAATGAACAAATAAAATCATATATCTAATTCATTTTAGACTCTNTGCACTGCTACAAATATCTGATAAGAGATGTAAGGTGATTGGAATTTAGAAAATTCAGTACCTACTGTTAGAATCATGCATAGGACCATCGAGGGAAACAAAAAATAAACCAAATTGCACACCTGTGTGTCACCCTTGCAAGGAAGGGAAAAAAAATAATATTCTATTATGTATACCATATTCAAATATAAAGAAATGAAATCCTATATCTAATTCCTTTTAGATCTGACTGAATTAGAATTTTCTAGAAAAGGAATAAACTAAAAACTATGGATAAGTCCAAGTAATTTTCTCATAGGCATTTGCCCTCAAAATGAACAAATAAAATCATATATCTAATTCATTTTAGACTCGNGTGGACCAATCAAGTAAAATTTGGATAACAATAGGGCTTTTTTTCCCTAAATTAACATGAATTCTTCTGCAAAAGCATTGCACTGCTACAAATATCTGATAAGAGATGTAAGGTGATTGGAATTTAGAAAATTCAGTTCCTACTGTTAGAATCATGCATAGGACTATCGAGGGAAACAAAAAATAAACCAAATTGCACACCTGTGTGTCACCCTTGCAAGGAAGGGAAAAAAAATAATATTCTATTATGTATACCATATTCAAATATAAAGAAATGAAATCCTATATCTAATTCCTTTTAGATCTGACTGAATTAGAATTTTCTAGAAAAGGAATAAACTAAAAACTATGGATAAGTCCAAGTAATTTTCTCATAGGCATTTGCCCTCAAAATGAACAAATAAAATCATATATCTAATTCATTTTAGACTCGATTGAAATAGAATTTACTACATAAGGAATAAACTAAAAACCATGGATAAATCTAAGCAATCTTTTCGTAGGCATTTGCTATATCTATATAATAGTTATTGCTTGTGCCTGAAAATACGAAATAATAAAAAAATAATGATTAATAATTTTCGTATTTGTATTCACACTTAAAATCAAATTACAAACATATAGTATAAAGAAAGAAATTTAAACATTGACTATAGTGGGGGGTGAGGGGTGGTAGTGATTGTGGGTAACAGTGGGATGGTGANGCTTGTGCCTGAAAATACGAAATAATAAAAAAATAATGATTAATAATTTTCGTATTTGTATTCACACTTAAAATCAAATTACAAACATATAGTATAAAGAAAGAAATTTAAACATTGACTATAGTGGGTGGTGAGTGGTGGTAGTGATTGTGGGCAACAGTGGGATGGTGGGAGACGGTAATGGTTGTAATGAGTGGCGATGACTATTGTGGCAGTCGTGAGTGGCAAGGATAATTGTGATGATGGGTTTTGGGTGACGACGGTGATAGTGGTAGATGACGGTGGCTGTGGTTGACAGTGGAATTGGTGGGGCGATGACGGTGGTGGTGGCAGTGGTGGATTGTGTTGGTGGAGAGTGNGCAGTCGTGAGTGGCAAGGATAATTGTGATGATGGGTTTTGGGTGACGACGGTGATAATGGTGGATGACGGTGGCTGTGGTTGACAGTGGAATTGGTGGGGCGATGACAGTGGTGGTGGCAGTGGTGGATTGTGTTGGTGGAGAGTGATGATGGCAGTAGTGGATAACGATAGGTGTTTCTGGGCGACAGTATAATGGGTGGTGGTGGTGGTTGCATGTATGGTGGGGGTGGGGGTGACTGTGGGTGGTGGCAGTAGTGAGTAATGACGGGTGGTGGTGGTTAATTGTGGTAGATGTGGTGAGGGGTTAGTGACAGTAGCTGGCGGTAGTGGTGAGCGACAACAGGTTATAGTGGGTGGTGGTGATGAGTGTTGACAGTAGTAGTGATAATAACTATAAGAATGAGATGACGATGGTGGTGGGTGGTAGCGGTAAGTGATAGGATTAACAATCGGTGGTGGGTAGCGATAGTGGTGGTGAGGGTGGTGGTGGGATAGTGGGGAAGAGGTGGGAGTGGTGGTGGGGTAGTGACGGTGATGATGAGAGTGGCGACAACAGTGGTGATAGTACTGTTCCCAATACTCCTTTTTTTCTTTAAAATATTTATGTGAAATTATAAGTCTTGGAAGTATTTTTAAAAAGTCACTAAAAATACATCCTCATAGGCATATTATTCTTATTTAAATTGTGGTGTTAATATTACCTATAGAATTCTCGTTAAAATAAATTTTAAAAAAATTTTAACCGTAAAAAATAAAAATTATTTTATTTATGNATGGGTGGTGGTGGTGGTTGCATGTATGGTGGGGGTGGGGGTGACTGTGGGTGGTGGCAGTAGTGAGTAATGACGGGTGGTGGTGGTTAATTGTGGTAGATGTGGTGAGGGGTTAGTGACAGTAGCTGGCGGTAGTGGTGAGCGACAACAGGTTATAGTGGGTGGTGGTGATGAGTGTTGACAGTAGTAGTGATAATAACTATAAGAATGAGATGACGATGGTGGTGGGTGGTAGCGGTAAGTGATAGGATTAACAATCGGTGGTGGGTAGCGATAGTGGTGGTGAGGGTGGTGGTGGGATAGTGGGGAAGAGGTGGGAGTGGTGGTGGGGTAGTGACGGTGATGATGAGAGTGGCGACAACAGTGGTGATAGTACTGTTCCCAATACTCCTTTTTTTCTTTAAAATATTTATGTGAAATTATAAGTCTTGGAAGTATTTTTAAAAAGTCACTAAAAATACATTCTCATAGGCATATTATTCTTATTTAAATTGTGGTGTTAATATTACCTATAGAATTCACGTTAAAATAAATTTTAAAGAAATTTCAACCGTAACAAATAAAAATTATTTTATTTATTNATTGTGGTGTTAATATTACCTATAGAATTCTCGTTAAAATAAATTTTAAAAAAATTTTAACCGTAAAAAATAAAAATTATTTTATTTATTTTTTAAAATTTGAATTATATTGTATTTTATTTCGATTATACCCACACATTCCATTTAGTTGTCCATTACATGTTCTATGAATTCCATTCATTCTTCCACTATGAAATACACGTGCCCCTTTCAATTTTCTACTATGGATCAGATATATGCCATTCATTAATGGTCCTCCCACCTCTTGGTATGAAAAAAATATTAATATTTGACGGGAAAAAAGTCATGCTAGCCAACTTTGGCTGGCAAAAAGGGAATCATAATCTTCGGGAAAAGTCATCTTAGGCACCTCTGGTTTGGCAATTGGTAATGGAGGTGGTTGCTTATATAGAATTGGAATCCCTTGTATATCATTGGCTGCATAGTCTCTCTCTCTCTCTCTATCATGTGGATCACAAAGCCTACCCAAGGGGCATAATTGAACATGGTGAAGGTGCATCCAATTTGTATTATTGGTAGCCCAAAAAGATACCAACTCAGTCTAGGTTTGTCTTGATTTTAACCCACACCAACCCACCAATATTCCAATCGTCAATATACCCTATTTAGAGTCAATAACTGACAACGGAGTCAATTGAAACTGACAAGTTGATAAAGTAATTTATTGTNAAAAAGATACCAACTCAGTCTAGGTTTGTCTTGATTTTAACCCACACCAACCCACCAATATTCCAATCGTCAATACACCCTATTTAGAGTCAATAACTGACAACGGAGTCAATTGAAACTGACAAGTTGATAAAGTAATTTATTGTGAAATAATAGCCTAAATTGGCTGTATTGAACGTGCACGGCAGATGCTAATTTCTTGAGAATTTGTTACTTAAATGAAAAATCATATGCTTTCAAACATTTTTTCACAATAATTAAATATGTTGGTGGATCCAATTCAAAATCAATAGATTATGGGTGAGGTGACCTTCAGCCGGGTGAGAGATTTAATCCAAAAACCATCTAAAACCCAACTCTGATATCTAGTAGGAGCATTTAGCCCAAAACCAATTAATATTGGTGGGGTGACTTCAAGTACATAAAATCAAACTTTAATCTAATTGTTTGATGTGCAGTAGCTCTCTTCAAAACATATTTCATTCAAACAAAAAGCTCAATGGACATGTCAGCGTGTCACTCTCCTTCCTCAACTACCGCGGACAAACATGTATAAATAAATATATATTTCTTAAATGGGAAAAGAATAAAATTTATTTGAAAAAGAAATTCATGCTATATAAATGGGTCCGTTGTGCGTGAGTGGTTGGTAGATGGTATTTACCTCCGGTTTGGTAGTGCGGGTACTCGTATAATCAAGGTAGTCGTAATGGGAAGTTTCTATGGTTTGATTCTGGGAGTGGTACTACTAGTACTTGCAGGGTTTCTACCATCTTCTTCTTCCTCCACCACCCGGCGGTTTCAGTTCAATGTAGTTTAATTTCTCTCTCTCTCTCTTTCTCTCTTACACACACACACACACACACGTAAATATACACAATACAAAGCCTGGAGCTTTGACAATTGCTTTCTTAATTTGCAGGTTGAATTGAAGAATGTAACCCGCTTGTGCCATACAAAGCCACTTCTAACAGTGAATGGCAAATATCCAGGGCCAACCATTACTGTGAATGAAGGTGACAATGTGGAAGTTCAAGTTACAAACCGTGTTGTTAGCAATACCACCATCCATTGGTGAGCCTAAAATACTAACCAAACCTGTTGTGTATTCATTAATATAACCTTATATTCTACATTGAGTAATGCTATTTATATCTAATTCATCGTCTTAATTTATTTGCTTAATCATTTAGTGCCTCTTGATTGACAATTCCAAGATATTGGTTGGAATCCAAGTTTAATCCGGGGTAAGAATGAGCTTACACAACTAATTATGTTTTCTCTTACTATACGATACAAACAAATTCATGGACCACCCAAGAGGTACCACACTTGAAGGGGAACTTTCTATAATTACTTTTATTACACTACCCTCTACCAGTTAAACATTTGAGAATACTTGAGCAGAGATAAAAGAACAAAGTGGCTGATCAAGAGAGACACGAGAACAAGCACATGTCGGGTTATACATGTAATTGAGGCCTCGATAGCTTAAAGAAGTGAAAGGATATGTGAAATTTTAGGCGGACAATGGTCAGTGTCAGAGAGTTTAGGTGAAGGTATGAAAATATTGGATTGATTAATTATGCAAGGCCGGCAATAATTTCTTGCAGGACACTGATTCATGCCAACATGTACTACTCATTACTTTTTTTTTCTAGTTTAATGAATGGATGGATGTTTTTTTCCCTTTTTTTTACGGCAAGGATTTAGTAATGTTTCGATAAATTTGGAATAAATTACAATCCAATGTGATCAAGTCACGACTCTATGAGGTCAAAAAATTTAGGATGAATCACATTATATATATATTTTTGGATTGATTTTAACTCTATCTAATTGAGTTGTTACTTATCATGTTTAAATTATAATTTGACTTGATTAAATTATACTTTTTGGTGTAGCACCGATAGCGAGACTATAAAGAAATCTTTATTTTTGGTATAGTCTGATATTTGGACCCTAAAGTCTAGTTTTTATTGTAGCATGTCATTAGTAAGCGTGGACATCCATTAATTAGATAACTATTAATTGGAGGCGATCAAGGTAGACTTCAATAATTCTAGAATCAAACCAATATTGATTTTTTTTTTAGGGCACCAGTACATATTATTGATCCTGTCTAAATCAAAACCTCAATGCTTCACTAACCAAATTACTAGCTTGAAAAGATAGTGGAGGATGGCAATCAGCGGCCTTTAAAATATTAATATCTTGGAGTTAGGCAACTTGTAAAATCAGAGAAGTGGACATATGGTCCCCCTCAAAAAAAAAAACAGAGACTAGCAATAGCAGTCATAAGGTCACACACTACAATGCCGACACCGCTAAATTCTCTTAATATAGAGCTAAGAAACATAAAACATTCTCTCTCTCTCTCCCCACATATTTATATTTATTAGCAATGTACCATGTAAAAATTAATAAAACATATTATGTGTATTTAAATTAAATATTATCTCAAATTTATCAAACTTAATTTTGTACGTTCCCAAAATTCTTTATGTTTGAGAAATTATATTTTTTGAAAATCATTTGATTAAGATTTCAATTATAATTCATTGAATAAAATAATAGTAATTGTCAATATACTAATCACATTGGAGCCTTACTATAATTATGAATTAGTTAGGTTAATTTGAATAAGAATTAACATATTACTTTATAATATATATTATGAAGTATATTAAAATTCTAAAAAATTAAATTTTACTTAAATATATTATAATATCTATTTTTACATAAAATCTTAGTACAACTTAAAAATTTTATTGTGACTGAAAAATTTTAATGATGTAACATAAATTAATTTAAAAAAACTATATATATAAAATTATTTTTATCTTTCAAATAAAAGATTAAAATTTTTGATGAAAAATAAATACATATATGTAGGCATAATGTTATATTTACAAATGAAATGAGAAATATTAGATTGATGGAGTTTTTAAAGTTTTTTTAAACACTTTATTGAAAATATAATGATGCATATTTTTTTAATGGTAATATAGTCAATCAATTTTTTTTTATAGAAATTGATATTGATACATAGAGAATAAATAATTAAAAGAGATGTTATAGATAATTTGAAAATTTAAATAAGGATAAAATTATTATTTAGATATTTAATTATGAAATAATAGTCTTTACCATCATTTATAAGGATAAAATAGAGTTTCAAAAGTTTTTCATCTTATTTTTATAGAAACTAATATTGTATACATAGCGAGTAGATAACTAAAAGATATATTATAGATAATTTAGAGATTTAAATATAAAAGGATATGATGATAATTTAAATATTTAATTGTGAAAGAATAGAGTGGTTTATGCAATCCTTTATAAGAGTAAAATAGAGATTTAAAAGTTTTTTTATTTTTATTTTAAGGTACGCTTATTAGTAGTATAAATATAAATATAAATAGATATGAAATTTTAACCAGATTTTATACGAGATCAATGCTAAATGTAATGTAATGCTCACAATCCTCCTCCCTCTGATAGTCATGCACATGTGGCATAAGGATTGGGCATATTTAACTCCAGTAACCCTAATCATCAAGTATTTCACCCCCCCTTTCCCCCTTCTTTCTTTTCTCTCTTCAAGTATTATTATTGTTATTTGGTACGTGTTCTACTAACATATTTTGGTGAGTACATAGGCATGGAATAAGGCAGCTAAGAACAGGATGGGCTGATGGTCCGGCTTACATTACACAATGCCCCATAAGAGGAGGCGAGAGATATACATACAAGTTCACAGTGGTGGGCCAAAGAGGCACTCTCTGGTGGCATTCCCATGTCTCATGGCAAAGGGCATCTGTGCATGGTGCTTTTATCATCCACCCTCGGATGCCATACCCTTTCTCTGTTCCAATTCAAGCTGACATTCCCATTCTATTTGGTATAGAAAGGCTTTATACCTCTCTCTCTCTCTCTCTCTCTCTCAATCATCTGCCAGTGGAATCTTATATGATTTAATTATTTAACATTGAAAAACATGTACTTAAACAATGCTTTCATGGAAAAAAAATAGAAATTAGTAAGTAGAAAACTACGATATTTAAAGTAATTAAGTTAAAAAATAACCATAGGATAGTAATTGATTCCACTCTCTCCATGGTATGACAATGAAAAATCTGATGCCTCACATGTTTGTGGTTTGAGTGCAGGTGAATGGTGGAATGGAGATATAGATGCTATTGAAAAGGACATGATGCTATATGGTAGTGGGCCTAATTCCTCAGATTCTTACACCATTAACGGCTTCCCAGGACCCCTATATCCCTGCTCTATCAAAGGTAAAGTGATCAACTAGATGCAATTTTGTTGCCATTGCATGATCATCCACAAATTTAGCGAGATTTTAACACAACGCGCTTCAGTTGGGATCAGATACACTTTAAGTACTAGATTTTCATAATTCTTTCAAAATTAGATCGTTCACCCATATTCGAAGGGGGAGGATAATTGTTTGGAATATTATAGATTCTAACTCAATTCCTAAAATGAACGAACATCCATAGAATTGAAAGAATCTAATAATACTAGACTGATCTAAATCCACTTGGTTTGCACGCCAAACACCCTATTAAAAAGGTGAAACTTATTTTCTTTTCAATATTCTTCCTATAAATTTATCGATATCTCATATAATTTACTGACAATCTCGTACACCCAATTTTAATTGACAGGATAGAACTTCAGTTGACATGAAGCAATGTATCTACTAATTTTATTTGTCTTCGACTAGTTTGAACAAAGATAGCATAGGAATATCTTACATGCTTTCCTCTCATCTATAATCTGCAGATACTTTCACATACACAGTTGAAAGTGGCAAAACCTACATGCTTAGAATCATCAATGCAGCACTTAACGATGAGCTATTCTTTGCTGTGGCTAACCATACCCTGACTGTTGTGGAGACTGATGCAGTCTACGTAAAACCCTTCACAACCACAGCCATAATGATCACCCCCGGACAAACCACCAATGTTCTTCTCACTGCAAATCAGGTCCCCGACTCCACTGGCATGTTTACTATGGCTGCAAGGCCATATCTCACTTCACTTTTCCCATTTGATAATTCAACCACTCTCGGCTTCTTGAAATACAAAACCACAGGGATCCAAACAATAAAGCCCCCTGTTGGACCATACAGGGTCCCTTACAACCTTCCTCAAATGGAAGATACTCCCTTTGCCACAAAATTCTCAGAGAAGCTTCGAAGCCTTGCCACTGCTGAATACCCTTGTAATGTGCCAAAAAGGATTGATAAACGAGTGATAACAACTGTTGGCCTCAATCTCCAAGACTGTCCGGCTAATCAAACATGCAAGGGGTTTAGAGGAAAGAAATTTTATGCTTCAATGAACAATCAATCGTTTGTTCGTCCTACCTTGTCGATATTGGAATCCCATTACCAGAACCTCACCACCAGTGCTTATACATACAATTTCCCAGACAAACCACCACATGCTTTTAATTTCACTGGCGCAGATCCTTTAGCTGGGAACTTGAATCCCGAGTTTGGTACAAAGCTTTTGGCGGTGCCTTACGGAACCAAGTTAGAAATTGTGCTGCAGGATACCAGTCTTCTAAATGTGGAAAACCATCCAATCCATGTCCATGGTCACAACTTCTTCATAGTGGGAAGGGGATTCGGAAACTTTGATGCTACCAAGGATCCTGCTCATTACAACCTACACGACCCTCCAGAGAGGAACACGGTGGCTGTCCCAGTTGGGGGATGGGCTGCAATTCGGCTGAATGCAGACAATCCAGGAGTATGGTTCATACATTGCCATCTTGAGGAACATACAACATGGGGTCTAGCCACTGGCTTCATAGTAGACAGCGGTCCAGAGCCATCCCAGTGCTTGCTCCCACCCCCAGACGATCTTCCCTCATGCTGAGTTTTCAATTGCTGTTTCAATCAAACGTGAAGCAGTATTGGAGCTCTTTTCAGGTAGAATACCAATCCAATTCTTTAGACTCTTTTGTAATGCATATTGTGTGATGGTATATGTAATATTTTCGGTGGTTCAAATAGCCAAAAGGGTTTGTAGTTTGAGTGACAGTTTGATTCTTGAGGGAGCTTCAAGTGAGTGTAACTGAGAAGTTAGAATGGAATATGAGATTATTTTGAGTTCGTATCATAAAATCTAAGATAAGAATGTTGAAGTAAGCACCAGAATATATATCAAATTTATTAGAAGTCCTTAAAGATTATACAGTAATTATTTAAATTAGCATATCATAAAATTAAACACAAGAATTTAAAATTAAGCACCAGAATATAGATCAAACTTATCAGAAGCAGTCGATGATCATATAGTAATTGTCCTAAATTAGCATAGCAAAACGATGAAAGCAACCCTTTTTGACCAGATTGGATAAATACCAATCAATTATTATAGAAAAGATAAATTTGAAGTAAAAAGGAACAAATTAAAAAGAAAATCACCTGTTGACGGAGGGAAGATATTAGCAAGGAGCTTCTTATGCCGTTTTACAGGTTGTCTGGACCTTGCCCGCATTTTTCTCTTTCTTTTTTTGGATCTGGAAAGGAACACAGAGAACAACCAATCTTGACATAACCCTGTTTTCAAAGGAAATTCAAGTCCCTACTCAGCAAACCAGATCAAAATCAGTTCAGATTCACCAAACCCACATTTACCCAATTGGCTAGATGAAATTTTTTTTTCAAAATTTTACCAAAAAAATTTATAATTATGGGTGATTTCAGGATTTTTGTTTGTGAACAGCACGAACTAACCCAATTAAGGAAGGTCAATGTTACAAAACTCAAATAAAATTAAATGAAGTGATAGGTAACACTATTGAGACATAATTGTAGGACATAATTAGAAGACATAATGCACTGTGACTAATGAAGTGATAGGTAATAGAATTCACTGTAATATTAAATGTATTTTATTATCACTCCATTGGTCAAAATATATTATGTTCCCAAATTATAACATTAAATTATGTTCCAATAGAATTGCTCTTAACCAAATCAACAATATTACATAAACTTTTCAAGAAATTACATTTTTTAAGTGTTGACCCAAGCGTTGAAGGTTTGTGACTCTACACCATATTGTCTATAACTTTTGTTTTTGCCACACTGGTGTTTCTGTGTTTGTTCATTTATTATTACATTTGTCACTGATTTAATTTCAATATTATTGATGGGACATTTTTAGATACTCTCAGATGATGACACGTGTACTCAGCGTCAATGGAGACATTTGTTCTAATACTAACACGTCCTCATGGTTTTTTAACCTCTTGCCCCGAGGATACTATTCACAGGGATCAACGATCCCCAAACCACCATGGATCGAAACGTATTCTTCGGTAGTTTTGGGTATATCAGTCATAAATCATGCTAGTCTCTCGGCACCGAGAGGTATCTATCGCGTTGGCGTTTCTGCATCTGCAGGGGTTATTGATGGATAGATCACTAGCCTAGGCAAGGCTAGACTAGCCATCATGACCTCGTTTTACTCAAATGGTGTCAGGAGGTACAAGAAAGCAGAAGACTCAACCAAAGGAGAATGGGCACGTGGCGTATTGTGTCAGATCAGAGACAAAAAGACCAGAATGCCTTTGCTGACACATGACTTGGAAAAACAAGTATTTAATGCACCTTTCCCTTGATGAGACAACATTTAATGCATGAGAGCTCGGAAGTGAAAGGTAATAAATGTCCAAAAGCCTGGGCATTTAATACATCTCCGCCGAGAGAAGATCATTAAACGTTCGACAGACCGAGGAGAGAACATTAGTTGTTCGGGGTCCCGAGTNAGATATTAGCAAGGAGCTTCTTATGCCGTTTTACAGGTTGTCTGGACCTTGCCCGCATTTTTCTCTTTCTTTTTTTGGATCTGGAAAGGAACACAGAGAACAACCAATCTTGACATAACCCTGTTTTCAAAGGAAATTCAAGTCCCTACTCAGCAAACCAGATCAAAATCAGTTCAGATTCACCAAACCCACATTTACCCAATTGGCTAGATGAAATTTTTTTTTCAAAATTTTACCAAAAAAATTTATAATTATGGGTGATTTCAGGATTTTTGTTTGTGAACAGCACGAACTAACCCAATTAAGGAAGGTCAATGTTACAAAACTCAAATAAAATTAAATGAAGTGATAGGTAACACTATTGAGACATAATTGTAGGACATAATTAGAAGACATAATGCACTGTGACTAATGAAGTGATAGGTAATAGAATTCACTGTAATATTAAATGTATTTTATTATCACTCCATTGGTCAAAATATATTATGTTCCCAAATTATAACATTAAATTATGTTCCAATAGAATTGCTCTTAACCAAATCAACAATATTTCATAAACTTTTCAAGAAATTACATTTTTTAAGTGTTGACCCAAGCGTTGAAGGTTTGTGACTCTACACCATATTGTCTATAACTTTTGTTTTTGCCACTTTGGTGTTTCTGTGTTTGTTCATTTATTATTACATTTGTCACTGATTTAATTTCAATATTATTGATGGAACATTTTTAGATACTCACAGATGATGACACGTGTACTCAGCGTCAATGGAGACATTTGTTCTAATACTGACACGTCCTCATGGTTTTTTAACCTCTTGCCCCGAGGATACTATTCACAGGAATCAAGGATCCCCAAACCACCATGGATCGAAACGTATTCTTCGGTAGTTTTGGGTATATCGGTCATAAATCATGCTAGTCCCTCGGCACCGAGAGGTATCTATCGCGTTGACATTTCTGCATCTGCAGGGGCTATTGATGGATAGATCACTAGCCTAGGCAAGGCTAGACTAGCCATCATGACCTCGTTTTACTCAAATTGTGTCAGAAGGCACAAGAAAGTAGAAGGCTCAACCAAAGGAGAATGGGTACGTGGCGTATTGTGTCAGATCAGAGACAAAAAGACCAGAATGCCTTTGCTGACACATGACTTGGGAAAACAAGTATTTAATGCACCTTTCCCTTGATGAGACAACATTTAATGCATGAGAGCTCGGAAGTGAAAGGTAATAAATGTCCAAAAGCCTGGGCATTTAATACATCTCCGCCGAGAGAAGATCATTAAACGTTCGACAGACCGAGGAGAGAACATTAGTTGTTCGGGGTCCCGAGTAATAAAGAATAAGATCATTACTCATAGAAATTGGTGTGCACACTGCCCACCCCCAATGATTACCTACTAGCTACGCTGTCAATAATGATGAGTTTTTAAGGTATAAATAGTCCTCACAAACACAGAAAAAGGGTACGACAAACCCTCTCTCAACCATCATACAATGTTTTCTTCTTCCCCTTTCTCAAGGAACTGAGTTGATCGTCGGAGGGGATACGCTGAAAAACACTCTGGCGCCCTTCTAACTGGTTTTCCTTTGTTCCAGGTACCTCCTTCAATTTTCCAAGATCACTCAGGCGACTCATACCAACGATTGATTATCCACCTTCGACCCTCACAACCTGTTCAACTAGCAAGACCAACCACCCAATTTCGGACACGTGTTCACCACGGAAGAGATCTGTTCTAGTGTTTATATTGTGCAGGTTCTTGCACTCACAACCATCATATATATGTTTAGGATTTTTGTTGAAGCTCCAGTTTTTATGGATTATGCATGGCCTTATTTTCAAAAGAATATTTGGTAGAACATGGTCCTGTCATTGTGAATTTCATGGAATGTTTTGCTGGACTATGTAGTAGTGTCACTGTGAATTTGTCGATACTTATATTTTTAATCAAACATTCTTTGTGAATAATTTATGACATGCTCGAAACTAAAAAAAAAAATAGTTACTATTTATTGGCGGTAACAAATTTAAATCATTCATTCAAACAATATACAGAATGTTATATAATAGGTTACTTAAAAAAATTTAAACACGGAGACACCTCAATGACAACAACCATATTTTCAACTATCCCCATATGTGCTTTTCAGTTTTGCCCTCGTGTTGTAATGCTCTTCGCTCTATGACCATTTGTGATTAAAGAATATATGAACTATTCTAGCACGTATGGTTCTCATTTGGTCTATTGTGAGTTTTTCTTCAATTTTCTCACCGTTCACAATTTTCTCTATTAGGTGACAGGCATACATGTATTTCACAGTCGAGTCTTCAAGGAGTAATTTATGTTAGCATCATTTAAAGGATTTTTCATTTTTTTTAATAGTATATGGCATCAAATGACGTCTGATCATGGTTGCAAATATTTATCGACTGACTTTAGTGGACGCTCGCTGTCTTGCGCGGTGATAGAAGGTTTTTCATACTCATTCAATGACTCCATATATTGTCTCTGCACCGTGTTTGCATAATACTTTTTCTACAAAAAAGTTCACATTAAAAAAACAAAGATTTAATAACTTTATAATAAAAATATAAAAAAAATAATTTTGTTAATAATATTTGTTTTTCTTACCACGATCAGTGCATCTTCAAAATAGTAGTCTCAAAAACCCTTTCTTGGTTTGTATGAATTATAATACATTCACACACCATCTTCGACATCCAATATGAGCAAATTCCAATGTCTTGGTGATTAGTCATAGAAAGCGTGATATTTTGGTAAATAATTATTGATGATTTACACCGATCCTTTGTTAAGAATAGTTATTATAATTCCATTTTATATTTTATGTTTGTTTGGATGTTAATTGGAATTTTACAGGTAAATAACAAAAATTATGGAATGTTGAACATTCATAGGAAATTATGTGCATAGCAAGGAATCGATCCTTGGATTGAAAGATCGATCCGAAAAACTAAAATAAAAAAATGCATCTAGAGAGTTGAGGAGGATCGATCCCATTCTTGCAAAATGGAGAAGAGTGTTTTATGTCACACACCCAAATATAAGTGGTCAAATCGCAATATTTCTCGGTTA